CTATATGCCAATACTGCCATTTCGGACCTGTGAATTATTTTGATTTAAAAATAAATTCTAAAATAAATTCTAAAATAAAATCAATTATGTAAAAAATATTATCAACAATATAATAAGATATATATATATATATATTTTATTTTTATGTTAGGTAAAGGAGTAGTATTCAGCTTTGATCCCATAGGATCCTACGGTTTAGAAACCTGTAGAGCCACTGGGACAGCAGCTTCATTAGTTCAACCATTTCTTGACAATCAGGTAATAAAGTTGTGTTATTATGGTTTATTTCTTACGATATATTACATAAATAAATAAATAAATAAATAAATATAATCGTCATGTAGGTCGAATTTAAAAATGTGCAAATTGACGAAAAACCACGATTGTCCTTAGATCGAGCACTTTGTATCGCAAAAGATGCCTTTACATCAGCTACAGAAAGAGATATTTATACTGGAGACTATCTTGAGATTTATGTTATCAAACAAGATGGAGTTACTATTGAGAATTATCCATTGAAGAAAGATTAAAGTCAATGTATTATTATACATTCACATTGCTTTTGATTTTATTCATTTGTTGGTTGAACGGATTATAGTTCTCCTAGTTTAATTGAATATAATCAAAACAAAGTCAAATTAAAGTATATATTGTGTTTATTTACCAAAAAAAAAATAATAAATTAAAAAAAAAATTTAAAAAAGACTTTAAGCTTGCCATTCTATTAGACCATATTAATGAAAGTTTATTGCTTCAGATTTTCATTTATCATTTTGTCCATATTTAATCACTCAATCATTACGAAAAATAAAGCACAATTAATGCTATAGCAACGATTTGTAGCGCGTCGTGAATAGTGTCGATCAAAAATAACTTTACAGGCATGTTGTAGGAAACATAACGCGAGAACGATAAAGCGCTTGCAACTGTTAATAAACAAGTGCAGAATAGTAAGAAAGTTTTTTAAAAAGGATATTTTGTTGAAATCATGTTTATGATTTACCGATCCAAAGTACAAAGCTCGTAATAATTATATTTTGGACGCCGTTTATATTTAATTCAGAGGTTACGTTTGTTATGGTTAGAGTCAGTATGGTTGTTGTTAATATGCTTGCCTTTTAATTTCGAGTAATAATCATAAGGTTAAAAAATAGAAGTAAAATCGGGTTCTTTTTTTTTATGATCGAGAATTTGAAAGTCGGATACCAAAGGTCCGGTTTGTGGTACATCATAGGCAATAGCTTCTCGTTGAGCTGGTGTTAAATTTTGTTCTCGACGAAGATCCATTTGAAGTTTTCCACAAATATCGTA